CGGAAGAGCATGAGGTGGGTTAGTGATAAACCATGTGTATAAACAACGTGTTGCATAAAATACAAACTTAAACATGATTTACCAAACAAAAGAACATGGGAAAAGAACAGTTAAATCAAAATCCAATTTTGAAGAAATTGAAAATACAAATTTGAACTTAAGACTGCTTGGTCTAGTGGCACAGGAGGGTCCGCCGGGGATGAGGTTTGAGAGAGGTTGTGGGGTTGGCTGTGATGGTGTTCAATCCCGTATAATATAAGAAATATATATACATATATATATTAATTTTGAATTTATATTCTAAAGTATTTATTTCTTTTTAAGAATTTGTGCACCTTTTAAAATTTTAATTCAAAATACATTATCAATTTCAATAGGACGGCTCTTCACACATCCCTCTTTATTCTTCACACCTAGTGCTGAAACTTTGGACGGGCCGCCCGTGACCAGGGAAAAGTCTGAATTTTTGCCCAATGACCGAACCCGAAATGCCCGAAAATTCGGGCTGCCCGACCCGACCCGAACATTGCCCATGGACGGGCTTCGGGCAGAGGATGCCTGCCCGTGCCCGGTCGGGTTGCCCGATGCCCGACAGGCTGCCCGATTTTTTTTTTTTTTATATTATATTTTTATGTTGTTGAAATAAGTATTTGTATAATTACAATGTGTATATTACAATTTGAAATATGAAATGAACACTGAACACACGAACAAACTATATAAAAAAAATTACTTCTTCATTCTCATTAAAAACCTTACCAAGAAAAACCCAATTGGGATAAAAACTTGGTACGGAAAAAAGAGTGCAATCATTGTGGGACGAATTACCAATTTGATGAACTTACAAAGTCTATACAAGATTACAATAAACACTATACAAATTAGAAATTACAAAGTAAATAAATATTTACAAAGAAATTATCAAGATCAAGCAGAAGGATCATCTTGAAAATTAAAAGTTAATCTATTAAATTCGTCGATCCATTCTTGGTTTGCCGGTGAGATTGTATCGTGTAAGCGTTGGTCGGAACGGTCCCAATCCTTGATGCACACCAAAGCTTCAACAATATCCTGCTGCAATGCGTTTCTCCGTTCTTCA